AAAAGCTTCAATTTGAGTAAGTCACATGCACGGGTTGTTAGGAGCATACGATGAGAGATATAGAGCCAAGGTAACGTGTAATGTAATCGTCTGATGGCCAAAGTCTCTAGGGTCGTTGAAAGCGTTTTAAAGATGCAAAACTTGTGGAAGTCGTTGTGATATGTGAAAAAGGTTCATAAATATATATCAAAATGCAGTAGGTAGATTCAGTGATCGACTAATTATTTTTAAGAGATGCTTTTGATTACTGATAGACATCTACGAGGCTGGTATCATAGAAATATAGTAGTGTACAGTATGTGGAGTTGGAAACCACTCACGGTGACCTGTAAACCTCAATAGATGGCTCAAAGTGATCTAATTGCCGGATAGTAGGGATCTGCTTACCAACTTGTTGATGATTTGTGATGTATTTCATTAGTTCACAATGTCTGTTTGTGTCAGAGACTGTAGTTTATCTCGAATAGGTAGTTTTTAATGGGAACCTTGTCAACCCCTTGTTTGAGTAGTTTAAATAAGCTGGAAGTGTGCGTCCGGTTGACACTCCTGGGTTGTACACACCGTAATTTATTTCTTCTTAGAGTACTTGGAAGAGAAAAAGATTTGCGTGACCCCAAAGCCCACGAGACAACTGCTTAAGGTCTACTACAAATATTATTTTGCTGACTTATTTTCTGGTTTGGTTGTTCTAACATCAGACAGAAAAACCCTTATTCCCTGAACCGAAAGATCGAGGGGTAGGGTAAAGTACGTTGTTTTGGGGGCTAGCCTTTTCTAAACCTCCACTTCCGTTTATAAGATAGCATCAGCTTTGGACTGCTGGCCATTCAAGGAAAATACCTTACTGCTGTCACTTCCCATCCAACTAGAAGCAGTACGACTTGGCCCTCGGATCCCCCTATCATAATGTAGTCATTTACACTACAAAGGCAACTGATTTTCGTCTTACCACTATCCAACAAACCTTTCTGGCATAACAGGACATTACTCTGTATCCAGAAGATATTTATTCAAACCGATATTTAAATGTATCTAATTATAGTGTACTATTGTCTACTTCTCTGTTTTCTTCTGCATAGATAAGGTGAAAAGTGCGGTAACCCAGTATATGTTAACAGATTAAACACTCATGTCAAGAAAATAAGTATTACTTTACTATATATAGATTCTCAAAGCAACTCTGATACATTATAGAGTATTACTACTTATGTGGTATACTATACTTTTGCTTAAGGAGACTTCCATCACAATATTCGGTAAAAAAAGTGGTTTCACCTTTGTTACTGGCATATCATTGCAGTTTATAAAGAATTTAGGAAGGGGTCTTGAAACCCCCGACAATCAAAGGAGAGAAAGGATTATATAGATCTCCAATTGGTACAGACTATCTAATGTCACCTACTTGAAACGAGAAATTATGCTAGTAACACTTTATCGACCAGCTATTGATACTTTTTCGTCTAGCTTGTAGGTGGATAAGTAGTTGCAGTGAGGTGCATAGAGCAGTGTAAATTTGATGGTGACCACGAGAATGTTGAAGGGAAAAGAGGAAGAGTAAAAAAAAGGTGAGGTGACCACTCAGCAAGTACACAGGATGTAATTACATTGAATAATAAAAGATAGTTAACAAACGAGCTTGTCAGCGAAGAAATGAGGCAGTCTAGAAATTCAAACTGGAAGGTGAATGAATAGAATTTCGAATAAGTTACACTACTCCTGTTTCTTTGGAGGCATTGTCTTCAGTGCCTGGTCGTATCTGAGTTAGAGGCTAGGTATGGTGTATGAAGCTTGTGCGAGTTAAATTAAAGGGGATGAATGCGTTCGACCACCATCTTTTTGTGGTATAGGCTGCATCATCACATCAGTAAAGTAGAAGTCAAGCTTATACTCCTAGGGAGAAGAGGAAGGTAAGTTGATGAGACTGTGAACCTTCATCTGTTGTGCAGCAGTTTAGTGATACTTTACTCTTTTCTTTCTAATCTACTGGCTGTCAGATGGGATATCAGTTCTCTGATGGTTTAATACTGATTACCTTAGACTATCTAAACCATAATATCTATTTATCTGCATAGTTTTTCATCAAACCCTATGGAGGTTACTTTTCCTACTCATTAACATGATTTTCACTCCAGATATTGAACTATCAGAATTGGATATGATGAAAAATAATTTTATTCTTTATAAATAATTAATGATGAAGTATTCAGAATGAAAAGACAACAATATATCTAAAGTATGAAAGATAAATGACTAATTATCATGGTTATTCGATAGTTTTGTTCCTGAAAATCTTTATCATTAGATGATAGTAATGAAATGAGGGTAATGTGTCGATCATACTTCACCTATTTAGAAGAAATTGGATCAACTCAAATGATTGTGGATGAAATCTGAGCTCAAATAGAAGACGTCTATTTGGCTAAGAAACTGTGGTCGATTGTAATTCCATTTTAGTCTGGATTGGATTACAAGATTAAACGAACACAAGAAGGAAGTTTAGAGACTAGTGTCGTCTATAGGGAACCTATTCATCATTCGAATCATTACTTAGACTTCGAATTCTCCCACTCCATTTCAGTTAAAATAGACCTAGTTAAATGCTTAAATGATAGAGCGAAAAAGTTTACTAGTAGATCGGAAAATCTGCGACAAGAGATTAGACACATCAACAATATCCTACGTCTCAATAATTACCCACCAAAATTTATGAGTAAATTCATAAGAAATTGAAAGAAAAATGTTAGCAGTATTTGTAGTAGTAATACAGATATTATTAATAATAACTCCACTACTAATAGTAATAATGGCGACAGGGTTAAGAGAGAATTCAAAGGCTCTGCTGTGTTACTATACAAGGAAGGCACCTGAGAAGCATTACGAAGACTTCTTAATAAGGCTGGGATTAAAGTGGCATTCTAATCAACAAACTTGCTTAGAAACAAGCTTTGTAGGTTAAAACATCCTATCAATGCAATTAAGCAAAATAATCTGGTTTACCAGATCTCTTACAATGATTGTGAGGTCAAGTATATAGGTCAAAGCAGTCGACTAGCCAGGGTTGATTAGAATAACACAGCACAAAAACTCACTGAAATCAAGATTAGTAGATCCTAATAAGATAAGAAATCTAGAGAAAAGCTCGGCTATAACTCTGCATGCGATGACATACAGTAGGGTGGAATAGGGCGAGTGTTGAAAACTAACTTAGTTGGGTGGAGGAAGGGAGGGAGAGATTGATAACCGACTGAATCTTTGTTCATCGAATCAACACACACCGAATACATGCAGTAGCAGAAATGATTCTACACCTGTCACAGATATATGGAAAATTCTACTACCCTTGTCATTACATAGAAGGAGAGAAAATTAGGAATATATAAAGACTGTCTCAAAGTTGTGGAGTTACCTGATCTGATATGAATATGGACAATAAATTGTGTCTGAAACGTTATCCAGTAAACGATACTGTTCCTTCACTATGTGACATTCCTAATAAACAGACTAAAATGGAATTCGCATCGATTACTTTCAGCTGTTTCACTGAACATCATTCTCATCCATTTTTGAAGAATGTGACAAACTTAAACCCAATCCACTTGATATAGCTAGGGATTTGTATAAATCCAAAATGTCATTATAAACTGTGTACAATATGTAGACTTGAAATATATTCAACACTTTTCTAAACTGACATAACGATGAATCAAGATATTTTGTCATTTAGTTACTGGAGGGATATAGAATATCTGGATGTGTCTAAGACGACAAGAACCCGTAGTTGAGGACACTTGGTGATGTGCGACAATGGCGCAGATGTACTGACCTCCTTGATATCTTCTAAAGCTTGAATATTCACACTAACCGTCATCTTCAGATTGCTTATCCTTTCACACTGCTTTGATTGGAGTAATAGTATTAAACTTATTTGTCTATGAAAAGCTGTACTACAGACTCTGATGATCCGCAAAAACATGAGGCTGTAAACGGCGAATGTCGACCAATGGGCCGACATTAATTAGAGAACCTGATAGGAAGCAGCGTTAATCGAAATTAGCATTCTAAGTCATCAACCGCTAAGGTAGAAGTTTTAGATTTCAACCTTGTCACATGTTATTGTGTGGGCGGAGAAAATCTTATTGGACAGACTCGTCCTACAGCTGACCAATCAGAATAACTGTCGAACTTCTGACCTAGTGGCTTTATTTTCTGAGGGAAACCTATATATTATTGATGCGATTTTCGTCAAATAAAGTTGTCTTCGTTACAGTCACAGACCAGTTTTTGTCTTCTGATTTTCGTGGCTGAGTGAAGTATCAGGTCTGATGGAGAACAGTAGCCATTTGTATCCATTCCAAGTGCCTCATTACGTTAGTATCGTCCTCGTATTATTCTGCCAATCACTTCAGAACCCACTGAGAACCTGGTAGCAGTGGATAGCTTTTCTGTTTTAGTATAGGACTTCTCAGCAGTAAGCACCCACGATTGGGCCACGGATCAAACTCATGGCCTTCGGGTCTCACGGTGAATGGGTCGACCATCCAGGCGGTTGGTCTGAGTTCGATGCTTCGCAGTTTCCAACTACTGTCAATTCACGATATAGCACGATTATCAAAGTCCTCAGTCGGCATCCGCTTCACTTTAGACTAGTTTCTCATTAGAACTTTGTAGTGTCCATCTGGAACCATGTCACTAATGACCACTACACTGTAATTTCCTTTTAGGTTAGTGAGAGTTTTAATTTTGAGGTGGCATTCATCACTGACTGACATCAGTTGGAGAACCATCAAAACTTGAGAGTAATGGGGAGTTGTTTCGTCCTCGTAAGGGACTCGTCAGCAGCACCCACCTACTACTCGGATAGGGACATCCAAAAGCGCTATGAAAGATTATTTAGCAATCTTCAGTGCTTATTTATTTATTTTAAATGTATCAATATTCAGTATCAAGAAGGTGGACTGATTTGTTGAACTTTGTTCAATAGTTTTACTAGCAATAGTATTGAAATAAATACCTATAAACATTTATTATTTTGGTTGGAAACAAGTAAACACTACATGTGTTTAAAATGCTTATCACAATGTCGATATACAAAGTACAATGGTCAAAGTTTTCAACAACAGAAAAACAATTCACAAAAGTATAAGGACACTAACGGTACACACTCCGCCATTTATGCATTAGTTTAGATACTGTAAAGTATGTTATATATATTTCAAATGGATATAATGTACACGCTTCACTGACAGCTAACTTTGTATGCAGCAGCTACCAACTCTAACCCGGGACGAATAGAGAAGAATACCGAAGCTAGATGAAAGAGTTTTATTCCTCCGAGAATAATGATCAATTAATTAATTCAAACAAAACTAGTCAGTATGTATACACTTGAGATATGACCTTGTCCAAAATAAAGACATTAGCATAGTAAGAGGAAGAATTGACCAATCAGCGAATTACCTTGAAATTGGAGGCAGAAAATGAACTATTAGTCATGCTGTAAAAATTGTATGAGAATGACAAGTTCAGACCCATAACAATATTTTATGCGAAATCGGAGCTTTCCAATAATATTTTACGAAACTTGCCTAATTAGTAAAAGAAAATAAATTAGTCCACTGTAATAAGATCTGACTTAATAATCCCAAAATTCACCATAAAATAGACTGGATTGAGCTATTTCTCATTCAGTTGTTTCAATCATTCAAATATATTCTCGAATCATAGTAAGTTTTATAAGAGGTCTTGATGCATATGTAACCTCCTGAAGTCATCTTAACAATCACTTTCTGCGAAAAACTACCTGTCCAACCGAAATAAAGGAATCTCTAACTAATGACTACTTCGCTGACCGTTAGAGTTAGTCCGAATTCTCATCAATCATCATCATCAACATAAGTCTAGGGATTACTGCGTAACAGTCCGAGTTGCCACACCTCATATCAGCACATCAAGTAAAAAGGTAGTGAGGTGAAGGATGAAGATAAGAGAATACAGTCAAAAGAAATATAAAGTACGAGGAGAAATGAAAGAGGAGTGAAAAAATGGTGAGATTCGGTAGAGTGTAGTTAAGATGAGGATAATGTGTGTATACATCTGCGCCACTCACATCGCTTCTCAGCCATGTGATCACCTAGGGTCTCCAACCACTGGTTCCTCTTCTCCCACTGATCCCAACCACCTAGTCTGCATCGTCCTACATGGCTTAAACCAACAGTCAGAGACTTCATACATTGGTGCCATGTTTTAGTCTGGCCACCTCGGGCCCTTTTCCAGCCTGGACCCACCTCAGCCAACATTGTGTGATGAGGCAATCGGTGACTAGGTATTCGTAGTACGTGTCGGAGCCAACCATCTCAGTCGATGAAGGTTCACAACCTCGTCGACTGACTTACCTCTCCTCCCTAAAACTCAACGCCTGACTTCTGAGTTTCTCACGTGGTGACACCACGGAACGGTGGTCAAACACCTGAAGCCAGCCTACTCATCTCTTCCACTTTCAATGGCCATGTTTCACAGCCATACAGTAGAACACACCGAACTGTTGTGCAGTACACGCCACCCTTAATAGACAATAGGATATCACGGTGGCGTAAATTGGCGAAAGCCAATCGAGCCTTTTGTATCCGTACAGAGATTTCACTGGCCACTGAGCCAGCCACCAGGGTAGGGCTGATCTTACTTCCCAGGTTAGTGAAGTAGTCGATACACTCAACCACTTCACTCTTTATTGTTAGTCGTGGCACCGCTGAAAACTAATCCTGGAGCGGCAATTTGCATTTGGGTGGTGAGAACCATATCCCAAACATTCTCAAATTCTCATCAATATACCTTCAGTTCATCTGATGTAAGTATCTCATTTTACTTTAACCGATTCTGTGCTCTCATCACTGACTGACAAGATCAACGTACAACCTCCCACACAAATTGCATCACTCCAAGTTGCCCCACTTCACAAGAGTTCACAAAGTTGTATGGGTGAGAGAATAAACAGTCTGAAGATAAAGGTTAGTGCGAACATTCAAGCTTTAGAAGATAGTAAGGAGTAAACACATCTGTGCCATTGTTACTGATTTTCAGCCATGTCACCAAATGTCCTCAACCAGGGATTCTTTTCGTCTTGGAGACCCCTGTACTCTTACACGTTATCACTACGGGAAACAGAGATACCTAAATTCATCCAGTTAGCATACCAATTATCTACATCTCAAGAATGATATTTAGGAAAATAAAACTATTTCTCACACTTTAAGTAGCGGTATAGCCAGAAAGTTTGTTTATAGGTCAGACGTTCCCGTTGAAATTGATTTAGATGTAGCTTTCAATAAGGAGGAACATTATTCGAAGAATCATTGAAAGCCAAGAAGCATTACACATCTTACTCTAGGGCTCTTTAGCTGTGTACATTCCAACAGATTGAGTGGATGGCAACTTACTCTCAGTGAGGCTTAGGTTCGAACCCATGCCCCCCGTGAGTAGTTCAACGCTACAACTTCAATCTATGATGAAAGCTACCTTCTAAGAATTAGATAGCTTTTGTCAGTCTTCAGAATATCATTATCCATTGTGGTTATTCATACTAGTGAACAGTAAACTCGAACCCATTGAAGAAACAAGAAGACAGACAAGACGGAAGGAACAAATATTATCAACAATTGGGACGATAGTCGTTACATAGGGTACACTTTGCATTAAGAACCGTCATTTGCAAAATATGCTTCGTTTCCTCTTCTGTTTCTCTCTTGATATGCTCTTCATACATTCTTATCAGAAGCATCCACTGTAATACGTCTGCGTTATCCCTTGCGTTGCACTTGGCAGAATGTTTACCCATTGCTGGTAATTACCTATGCTTTCTGCCGGCCTCTCAACATATACTACTTATATCCACTAGTTATCAGCGACGCCCACTACACCCATGATCATCTTTTTTCCTATCATATCAATAACAGGTACCTGTGATAACCATTTAGTTGGCGTTGTCGATGATCATATTTTACTAAACAGGACACATTCAGATAGTAAAAACTCCAGATGAATATTAAAATATATACACTAGAGATTTTGAAGTTGGGATAAAAGTAATGAATGATAGAAATCTACATTGCGTAATTATTTAACTACATCATTCGAGTGTTGGTGTTTCAGTTAAAGAAATTGGCATAGTACATGATATATCAGCTAATTGTAGAGTTGATCAACAACTGTCGTGAAGCTTGAAGTTTCTGAGTTCGTTTCCTAGTGGGCTGGTAGATATGCATTGCTGACAGGTCTTGTTCTACTGTAGTCTGCACTACTTATCAGAATGGATATAAGTAGTATATGTTGACAGGGCGTCAGAAATCATAGGGAATAACCAGCAATGAGTGAAGCTTCTGTGCAAAGAAACGCAGAAGTATGAAGAGCAAATCAAGAGAGAAGCACACTGTGTAAATGACTGTCTTAGTGGAAGGTGTACCATGTTTGATGACTACTGTACAAGATGTCAATGATAAACATCCCTTCCTTCGTCTTTGTCTTCTCGTTTCCTTCAAGTGGTATTGTAGCTTCTGAACATGATGAAAATTTCGTGGCCTGCAGTGTTCGAGAATGGAGACATCAAGGTCTTCCTCAGGGACTTCGTAGTCGGTCGCAGAGCTGGTGCGTGTCTGGGATCCAGGAGCGAAGGTTGTGGTGCTTGGCACGTTGCTGAAGAGTAGAACGAAAGCAGCATATGACGGCGTGGAACGTGGCGATGGGAAGAAGATTTGGCAGAGAATGATTGAACGCCTGGAGGGGGAGGTTGACAGCCCAGCGGACAGAGAGCCGGCGATGCAGCAGTTGCAGAGCACGAAACTTGGAATAGATGAAGGATACACTGGTATTGGCTGTGAAGTTGACAAAACTACTTCGATGAGCACTTCCCACTTTGGATGAGGACTCCGAGGTGCAGTTGCTGGTTGCACAATTCACCGAAAGTATCCCGAATGCCATCGCTCAGCAACTAAGACTAGTCAACCCAGCCCAACCCATGGATATTAGTGAGATGGTCAAGGCCACCAGACAGCTAGTGGGTACAGCGGTAGCTGCGGTGTAGTTACCAGAGGTAAATAACCGGAAAAAACAAACAGATAACCTTCAGAAGGAGGTGGCTGCACTTCGAATGAATATCAACAGACAGAGTAAATCCTTTGCATGCGGAAAACTGGTGAAGAAACTGTCCAGGGAGGCAGAATCCTTACATCCATTCTGATCAACAACGCCAACTACACTAGGACGAAGCAGCTTTCCACTGAAGATCTAGTTTTTTTACCCAACAATGTGGATTCACCAGAGTTTTAATTTTTATCCGCAACATCTACTTATCCTCTCGAGGTTATGAGAAAGACACCTTAGGAAAAAATGAACTTTCAAAATATAGAACCATATAAGGACAACCAAGTAACGTTATCAGGCAATATCAAGACATCTGTATAAGAATCAACATGTCAACAAACCTCGAACAATTCAATCCAGTAAAAACAACGGAGAATTAAAATCTAGTACTAATTAATACCCATTGAACAAGAGGTGGCCACTGTGCCTCAGTAGCCTAGTAGATAAAGTTTTGGCTGTTAAAGCGATGGACACGAGGTCCGAGTCTCACAAGGGTGAAGATACATCTGGCTGATGAGTGTCGAACAGGACGAAACACGCGTTATGAATTCCTCTGCTAGCCACACAACCAAGTAAAGTTACCATAGTAAAAATACATTCCAAACTAGATAGGTTTGCAGATATTTGTATAACAAGGCACAATTTAATCAATACAATATAGAAAAGGGAAGAAAAGCAATACACAAGTTACATAATCAATGGAAAAAGGGGGGGTGGGCATTAAGAAATCAACAACTTATGGAATGTAAATAAAATCAAACAGTTTTTTCTTTTTTTTTCAATAGGAAATTGTTAAATGAAAAGAGATATGATTCCAACACACACACACACACACTAAGTGGTTCATTTAAGCAACAGGATCATTAACAAAATGACTGAAACTTGGTCTACTTGTACGCCTACGCAGGATCACTGTAAGAATACTGCCTAGAATAATAGAGCATACAAGGATAACCATTGATAAGATAATCAATCCAGTGAGTAGAGAGGATAGACTATCAGTTGGCGGTGAACCTAAACCGAATGATGCAGTCCTAGAGAAAGAGAAGGATGAAGAAAATCAATCACAATACCATATTATTAAAATGAAATTATCCTTTGAAAAAACATAATATGTAACCAATGTATGTGGATAGTGATTACAATAAACTCTAAGGTATACACTCCTGATGGTTGTAAAAGTTATTTTCATATCAATCATATAACATTGATTGTTTTGTAATTGATGATAGTTATCTATCATCTAGGCTTGTCGATATTTATGAATCCAACTACTTTTATAGCCACTTTAGTACACGTTCTCCTACTTTGAAGTCTGTATCCATATGACTTGATAAACGTAACAGTCTATTCAGTGTAGAGGTGTATACTGTTACACGAGTTTAATGTTCTCAAACATGAGAATCTTAGCATGTATAGTATATTTGGCTAAAAACAGGTCTTAGCCATCTTTCTAAAGCTACGCTGTATGATAATGTGATATAAACGTATTTTCTTTGGAACAGAGTATAGACTAGGTTTTCAAAGTTGGTTGATTTTTCATTTTTCATTCATGTTTCAGTTTGGCGTGGAATCACGCTCATATTCTGCAGAGACTAAAGGATGCACTGGATTCAAAACTACTACCAGAATAGGCTGGATTCAGGAGGCACAAATCGTGTTCGGATCAAGTTGCAACGGTTCGCATCATCATAGAAAAGAGTATAGTATGGTAGTCAACTCAACTCTACTTCAACTTCATCGACTTTGAAAAGGTCTTCGACAGCGTCGACCGAGAAGTAATTTGGCAACTGCTCCAACACTACGGAATACCACAAACCTTTATCAGCCTCATTCAACAACTATATGAAGACGCCACATGCCGGCCAAGTAATTCACAATGGGAAGCCCAGCGATGCTTTTAAAGTGAAGGCAGGAGTAAAACAAGGCTGCCGCCTACTATCACCCATGATATTTCTGATTGTGGTCAATTGGATCATGCAACAAACTGTGAGCAGCGAGAAGAGGTGGACACGCTGGCTGAAACGGGGAAAAGATCCTAGAAGATTTGGCTTTCGCCGATGACTTATGTCTAATGTCACACAAACTTGAAAATCTACAGGCAAGAACTAATAAGTTGACAGAAGAGGTGAGGCAGCGAAGACGGGACTTCAAGTGAATGTAGAGGAGATAGAGGTGATGAAGATACCCAACCAACAACAACAAACTCCAATCACCATCAACGGGAGAAACTTAAGGGAAGTAGCCTCTTTCACCTATCTAGGCAGCATCGTTTTAACTACAGGCGGCACAGGCATAGACGAGGATGTCAAAGGCAGAATCGGAAAAGCAAGACAGGCGTTCATTAGCCTGAATTCAGTGTGGAGATCTGCACTCAGCATGTGGAACAAGATCGGGGTTTTTAACGCCAACGTCAAGTCAGTGCTTCTGTATGGTTGAGAGAGTTGGCGCATTACGATAGGGATTTCCAACAAACTACAGATATTCATCAACAGCTGCTGCCTACGCTGGCTTGATACTGAAGGTCGATCAGATGGCCAGAATAGTGAGAATAAGCAACAAGGAACTCTGGGAACGAACCAACGAAGCAAGAACCTATCGCTCAACAAATATGCAGTTGAAGGAAGTGGAGATGGATTGGGCATACACTAAGAGGGCCGACTAGGGACGTCAAGCGCCAGGCCAGGCACTTGAGTGGAACCCAGATGAGGAGGCGACGAGTTGAGCGTACGAGGCAAGGATGACATGGAGGAGATAGTGCGAGGAGGAAATGAGAGGTTGTGGAGCCAGGTTCAAAAGTTTACAGAGAACATAGACCATTGGAGACGTGCTAGTGAAGTCCTATGTTCCATTAGGAACCCAAGGGACAAATAATAATAATATTTTGACGTCATTCTTTTGTAAAGGTACATTACTTTAACTCGTTTGTATTGGGTAAGACAAAAGTTACAGGAACTTAAATACTGCCCTGTCGAAGTATGTTTTCTGTATATTGACCATTTCATAGAACCATCATCCATCCATCCATCCATCCAAAAACAACAGACAGTCATTTTTCTCTTCATCATATGGTAAGTAAACACTATTGTTCTGTATGGTGTTAAGTCTTTGTGGTAAACATGTTGCATCTGTAAACTTGTCGCATATCACAATCACATCATCAGCATATCTCTTGTACAGAGAGGCAAGCCTTCAATATATGACATATAAATACCAGCTAGTAATGATCTTAGGAAACTACTGATGGCCAAACCATCTGTTTGCCGAAAATTATATTATGCATATTTATACATCTATTGGGTTCCTAATGGAAAATTGGGCTTCAGTAGCACATTTCCACTTTACTCCATTCTCTTCAGTCTTTTGAACCTGGCCCATGACTGCCCATAACTTTTCATTTCTTTCTTACACCATCTTCTCCATGTCACTCGCATCTGGGACGCCCAACTCGTCGTTTCCATGCGGGTTCCACTCGAGCAACTGGCCTGACGCATGATGTCCCAGAATGCTCTTCTCAGTCAGTGTCCAATCCATCTCCACTTCCCTCTGCATATTTCTTCAGCGATAGGTTCTTGCTTTGTTGGTTCGTTGCCAGCCAGCCAGAGTTCCTTGTTGCTCATTCTTATTATTCTGGCCATCTGAGCTTCAGTAACGAGTGTAGGCAGTTGTTGATGAATGTCTGTAGTTTGTTGAAAATGCTTTTCGTAACGGGCCAAGTCTCTCAACCATCACACAGAAGCACTGACTTGACTGGCATTAGTGTTGAAAATCCGGATGTTGTTCACGCTTTATGCTGAGTGAAGTGCAGTAGATCTCAACACTAATTATTTGAGATGACAAAGGCCTGTCCTACAGTCTTTCCGATCCTGGCTTTGATATCCTTATCTGTGTCACTGCCTGTAGTCGAAAAGATGCTGCCTAGGTAGGTAAGTAGGTAGGTGAAAGAGACACCTTCCTTTACATTTCGCCCGTTGATAGTGATTGGTACTTGTTGTTGTTGGTGGTGGTTGGGTATCTTCATCACCTCTATCTCCTCTACCCCCACCTGAAGGGAGTCTCGTCTTCCTTCGATGTCTCGCTTCTTCTGCCAAATTGTTAGTTTTCCCTGTACATCGAGTTTGTGCAACAAAGACACTACACATAAATAATTATCAGCGAAATCCAAATGTTTTTCTAGGCTCTTAAAATTGGTCCAACCAGCATATGCCCATCTTCCCGCTCCTCACAGCTTCTTCAATGATCCAATCCAGTCCAGTCGACCACAAACAGGAAGATCATCAGTGATAGTAGGCAACCTTTTCTTACAACTGTATTCACTTCACTTCAAAGGTGTCACTGAGCTTTCCACTGTCAATCACACGGCAAGTAGCATCATATAGCATAGCATATAGCTATTGAATGAGGTTGATAAAGAATTGTGGTACTGACAACGTAGTGTTGAAGCAATTGCCTGCCAACGCTGTCGAAGGCCTTTTCAAAATCGATGAAGTTGAGGTAGAGTTGAGATGACTACCATTCTATACTCTGTTCTATGATGATGCGTAGTGTATCGTTGCAATTTGATCCGACTACATGATTTATTTTTCGTGAAGCATTTTTCAAAAATCTTCCCCTTCAAGTGTGAAATGAACTTTATTAACACATAACAGTAGCAGTCCCTACCTCGCCTGGTTAACTAGTTCACTAGTTACTAGCCGGTCCTAAGCCCGGGTATACAGGGAAGGTTGGGCATAGGGCTAGCAACCCTACCCCTAAAACAAATCTAACCGCTAAACAAACTTCAAAGCACAAACCACATATAAGAAATAAAAACAACCTCATTCCTCGCTAGAATCGGAGAGGCGAAATGACGCCAGCTGGTGAAAGCCTTCGGGAAGCCAATTGGCCGATGTGTCTTCTCTCCCCCCATGAAAGCGAAAGTAAACGTACGGACATGGAATGTCCACACCATGTTAGAACCCAGCGAGGCAGCCCAGATTGCAAACGAGATGAGAAGGTATCACATTGAAGTGCTTGGAATTTGCGAAAGCAGATGGAATGGGAGTGGACTCTCCAAACGGTCAACTGGAGAATCAGTAATCTACTCCGGTCACCCGGACGACAACCACGAGCACACTGAGGCCTGCCAAACGTAGCCTTTTGAGTATGATTATTTTGAACTTTTGCATTTTTGGGGCCGGATGGTCGAAAAGAAACGACAAATGAACCAACACCCCCGGCCTCGCAGACCGGCCTGGTGGTGTGTTATTTTTGGGGCCGACCTTTTCCAACCCCCCCCCCCCTCTTCCACTGAGAAGGCAACATCAGGATGGCACTGCTGGTCATCCAAGGGAAACACCTTACAGCTGTCACACCCCATCCAGCTAGCAGCAGTGCAACTTCGCCCTCAGACCCCCATCATAATGTAGCAATTTACATCACAACTTAACTGCTTTACGTCTAACCACTATCCAACAGAGCTTTCTGGTATGGTAGGACCTCGAGGGAATAAGAGTTCCACCAGCATAGCTCGTTGTGATATGCAGGTCCGACCACCACGTCAAGGTAGCAGCTAACGGTCGGGTGTCAACCATTGATCTCCAAGGCATAACCTTAGATACGTCTAACTTCACTATGATTGATCTACTCCTTAGAAGTCACCTATTTGGTGAAATGTAGAATCTTCGGAACACATTGAGCAGAAATCTGATTATGTTTGGATGATAGGTGGAATCATTGTGTGAGCAATGTTGAGGTCAAGTGAAGGGTATTAGACAAGACAGACCAGTAAATCGATTGATGAGGTGATGAACCTTGGTCGACATATGTTACACATGCCAAATCACCGCCTACCTAGAACCTAGTTTAGGTTCGAAGGGGGTTCAGGGTGAGGAGACCAAGACGTGGCGCCAGTCGATGAGGTCTGTTACTGTTTGTTTAGTCTTCATAGTGAAAATCTATGCAGGAAATGATTAATGATTATGATTTCCAATAGTCATATCCATGGAAAATGGGAGAGGAGGGGGGGGGGGGGAGAGATACACAAGACAGCAACACACACACACACATAACCTACCATACAATAAATTTTGAACTGGCATAAAATCCATCCATCGGTGAACCAAACGATATATTCAACAAACGAATACCAACTGGAGGTGATAATAATTTCATGTTTGGATATAATCGATCAGCGTAGAATATGGATGGGAATGCTTGATCAAGAATTGATTTTGACAAGTGATCAGTTTTATTGTAATCATCAACATTATCAGATAATATAATATTATCTTGATGTTTACTTATAAAAATATTTCGACTATTTTGAACTGTACGCAATTGATCATCAATAAAACATACTGGTTTTATTTGAATAAATCCTGATGGAAATATTGAACTCTCTGATAAACTAGTAACATTTACTACTGATTCAGTTGTATTAGTAGTACTACTACTATTACTGGTGGTGGTGGTAGTGATGTTCGACCTTGACACTGAATGACCCAACAATAAATTGATCATCTATAGTGTAAAAAAACAAACAAACTACATAATCAAATCGGATAAACAGATCGATAACTTATATTGGACGATTTTTCCATCAGAGAAAACTTTATCACATAATCTTGATAGTCGAACTACAGTATCAATGTGATGCTGTATCGCCCCAAATCTATGCTAATTAGATTCTGTTCTTAGATTCGACAGGATGAGTTTTTGAAGGTGTGAACAATGTACGACTCATGTTAATGATGGACCGTGGCTAGCAGTGGAATACAGGATGCGCATTTTGTCGTATTTCGGACTCGTCAGCAGGATATTCCTGCTTCCCAGTGAGTGATGTTGTTCCCATTGGGATTGGGATTCGGTAGCGATCGCGTCAAACGCCAGCATGTTATCCACTACACCACCGAGCCAGAAAACAGCCACTTCTTGTACGGCGGTCGGAACAACATCACTCACTGGAAAGCATGCATATCCAGATGACGAGTTCGAAATAGGACGAAATGCGCATCGTGGATTCCACTGCTAGCCATGATCCATCACTAAGATAATTAGAACGCTAGCAATATCGAGGCATATGCCAATAGAGACCGATCGATTTGGTCCAATCAACGATGGTGTCATACAAGCAATAACACTAAACAACAGATATGTTGACATTAAGTCACTCTACTAACCAATAAGAAATGGGAAGAAGGTGAAATTTCACGTCATCAATAGGACAACCAATCAGAGTGAAGATCAAGACAACGATAATATACGTTGACAGAAACAACCAATCACACACAAAGTCATCAGGATAATCTACTAAATATAAGTTGTGGAGAAAGCCTTATTGGTCATTTCTTTGTGAAATTTGTGTTGATGATGTCGTCTAGAGTGACGATGTAAAGTTTCTGATTAAACCACCAACCTCAGAGAACAGAACATCATCAAAATGAACCTACTGAGTGGAGCAGGAAATATTTCACATCATTTCAAAATGTTTATTATTCTAACTTGACAACAATTAATTGTATCTCAAGTTGTTATTCATCGAAGACTGACATCAGTTGGAGGAACAAAGGAAACCTGGGAGCACTGGACAGCCGTTTCGTCCTAGTATGGGACTCCTCAGCAGTGCGCACCCACGACCCTTCAGGTTCCGCGACCAGCGCGTTACCATTGAGTCACTGGGTCGGAATCCAATGCTCCATATTTCCAACTTCTGTTAGCTCACGATATAGCGCAGGTTTCCTTTGTTCCTCCAACTGATGTCAGTCTTCGATGAATAACAACTTGAAATATTTTCAAATTTCCACAACCCCCTTAAAATTTAATTAATTGTATCATTAGAAATATATTATCTTATTAGAATGAAAAGAAGGAAAGATAGACTTTTTCAAATAAACATACCTCAAAATTACTCGGTGTTACTTCATCATCAAGACTGAATAAGATATCTTTACGAAATTCTTCAGTTGACTTCAAGGTTAAATTCGATATCATTATTAATTGTAATCCATATCGACTTTGATTGAAATGACTAGTTAAATTATTGAAGAGAATATCGAATTGAACAATCCAACCAGGGAGAAACATTAAATGTGGCATATCTGGATTACGTTGAGTTGTATTACTGATATGAAACTGAAATAAATAGTCTCATAAACACATACTATCAATTAAGTAAATAAAGATCGATATTAATATTATTGTTATTAGTCCCTTGGGTTCCTAGTGGAACATAGGGCTTCAGTAGCACGTCTCCAGTGACCTCTGTTCTCTAAGACCTTTTGAACCTGGTCCCACGACAGCCCACAACCTCTCATTTCCTCCTCGCACGACCTCCTCCATGTCACCCTCGGACGTCCAACTCGTCGCTTCCCATGGGGATTCCACTCGAGCAACTGGCCTGACGCGTGATGTCCTCAGTCGGCCTTCTCAGTGTATGCCCAATCCATCTCCACTTCCTCCTGCATATTTGTTGGGTGATAGGTTCTTGGTTGGTTCGTTCCCAGAGCTCCTTGTTGCTTATTCTTTCTGGCAATCCATCTGATCTTCAGTAGCGAGCGTAAGCAGTTGTTGATGAATGTCTGTAGTTTATTGGAAATCCCTTTCGTGGCGCGCCAAGTCTCTGAGCCATACAGAAGCACTGACTTGACGTTGGTGTTGAACATCCGTATGTTGTTCCGCATGCTAAAGATCAATATGCCCTAGTGCTAATGATAAGCCATAACCTATGGGGTCAACTACCAATCAGAAGTGAAGTGGATGCCAAATGAAGATCTTGAATAATAAATAGTTATGCTATATCATAAAATAGTTGAATTAGGAAACTGTAAACCATTGAACTTTGACCAATTGGCTGAATGATGAATGCATTTGACATGAAACCTCAAGGTGTGTAATTCAATCCTTAGTCGAATCCCCACGAACTTCATTGATAGACTTCGGATCTGTGCCAGCCAATAAGGAATAAACAGGTAAATCAGTTACTCGTTGAACGAAGTAATCAAAGTGGTAGGCAAATCGTGGTAAGATGAAGAGAAAGAATGAGACACTATTGAAATTCAGTATAGTTGATTAAGATGAATATATAATGTGCGGATGCATCCCCCTCACTAAGATCGATATTGAACTATGTATCCAACTGCTTGATTTCTGCTGTCACATGGACCCCTACAGCTCAAACCAATAATCAAAGATTTCATGAAGTGATGTCATGGTTTACTCTGGTCACCGCCAACCTCTTTCCAGCTCAAACCAACATTAGTCAATATATTTTGACGAGGTAGATAGTGACTAGGTATACATAATACATGTCCCAGCCTTCTGAGGCGTTGAAGGTTCACAAACGCATCAACCGACTTTTACATTACTACGGTACAGCTAGAGTCTTCTCACAGCCTTCAACTTTAACGACCATGTTTCACATCTACACAGTATAACACAGCAAACTTCATTGCAGTACACTCGACTCTTAAAAGATAATTGAATATCTCGGTAGAGCCAAAGATGAAGTAAATTGGTGAGAGATAATAGAACACCTTTGGAAACTATGAAGAAATTTCATCTGTCACCTATCCATCAGGGCTAACCTAACTTCTTAGATAAAGTGAATTGGTCAACGCACTCAACCACTTCATTCTTTATTGTAACGTAGTTGGAGATGAATGACGATTTGAATTTGGAGGTAGTAGTCATCATAGACTGATATCATTTGAAGAACCATTGTAAATCCGAGTGCATTGAAACACAATCAAATCATAGTCACCAAGGAAGTGAGAGATTAACCACCGATCAAAGATACTAAAGTCGGTGTTTTACTGTCTCATATTGTCCCACTCATCCCCCACCCCTAGATGCGAACAATCTTACAAAGACACCAGTGATCAGACACATAATCACTGAAAATCTTTAGCTTAAAGAGTATTAAACCTGCCTAAATCACTGCAGGACTCGAATCAACAAACAAATTAACTATCTATACATCAGAATTAGCTTATCAAACTAATGGAACTGAAGCGTTCTACCATTCTAGTCGAATTGAAATGCACTTACCAACCTTTTTTACATTCATCAATTAGGCAATGAGCTGCATTTAATGGCTATTCAAACCTCGGTAGTTGGAGCAGGGTTCGAACCCGTCACCTATTGAATGAAAGTCAATTCCTTAGACCAGTGAACCACAGCCCCATCCTAGACAGTAACTTTTTAATCACCTGGAATGTACAAATGAGTGGGGGAGGGGCGAGGGAGCGAAAGACGAAAATTACAATGAATTAAGAACTTTTATTTGGTTTAAGAACGTTCCAACATTCTGAATAGGTTTTCAAGGCTTTAGGTCAAAGTATTTACAAACTTTTTAGTTCCTATATTAAACCAATTTTCGACAAAACAATAAGAAGACGTAAATTCTCTGAACTGTGTATATAATGTGCATTTATGCAACACATTTCGAACAATTTGATCACTCACTCACACACACACACACACATGAAAAAAGCAGGATTTGATGAATGCATAAATTTTTGCAGGACTCATCAGCTGAATACTCTACTCTACATACTTGATTATATATACCGTTAAGGTAATGCAAAAGAACATCCATATATAAAGTAAACTGAGACAGATTTAGGTGTAACAACGTGAAAGTGAACAGCTTTTATGGGTCAAATGGTAATGAAAAGCGTGAAATGGATATTCAAAATTGAATGAGTTAGGGATTGGTTAATTGATAATTTAGTTGATTGTAACTAGCAGAAGAAACAAGGACGCGCGTTTCGTCCTACTCGCGTCCCATCAGTTGGATATACCTCTTCACTCCAGTGCAGAGTGTTGTTCCCACTGAGACTAGAACCTCGTACCCATCGACTCAAACACTAAGGCGTTATCCACTATGGCATGGAGGAACGATAGCCACTTCTTGTACAACGGATCGAATTGTTCGACGTCTACTGTGCGGATGCTTCGATATTGCCTGAATGTTAGTTGTGATAATTTGATTGGTTGTGGCTATTGTTCCTCTGTGGCATAGTGGATAACGCCTCAGCGTTTGAAGCGATGGTTACGAGGCTCGAGTCCCAGTGGGAACAGCATCATTGGGGTGTAGGCAAATAAAGCTGACGAGTCCCAAATAGGACGAAACGCGCATCCTGGACTCTTCTGCTAGTCAGAATCAACCAAATTATCATAATTAATATTCAGGCAATATCGAGGCATCCGCACAATTCGACCCGACAGAAAAACGGAGAATAACAAGTATTTAAACAGCGTAATGACAAGACGAAGATTATCTGAAACATGTCGTGATGTATTAGCGCTATATATTTCGAACAATCTGATCACACATGGACTTGTCAAACTATTTATGCAACCGTTCCTTGACATATTGCTCAGTTGACGGGAGGATGGCTCGATCAGGAGGTCGATCTATAAGAAACCTACATGGACAGGGCAATATCTTAATTTCCATAGCTATTGCCCAGTCCAATATAAACGTGGTTTAGTTAGATGCTTATTTAACAGGATAAACCGCATCTGCAACGATGACACCAGGGAGGAAGAAACCAACATACTGACGATAACAATGACGCAGAATGGATAACCGTTGAGATTTATCGACCGGTGCAAAAGTTATGTACCATTGAAAAGTATACAGTGTTCCGTTGTTAACAGAAATGTCTACATCTCATTACCACTTAGAGGTGATTCACATAGCTTCGTTGTGAGGAAAAGACTTAGATCGGTCATCTGTAAAATGTATTATGCAGCTAAAGTCATCATTGCAGAGAAGACAAAGTCCATGTTACAGCACAAACCGAAACAACATATAAACGATTACATCGCATCTCACTGTGTTTATCAATTTACATGTATGTGTGGACACACACATATAGGGAGGAATAATCGAGATATGCAGTTAAGGATGATTGAACATGTACCTAAGTGGCTACAAAAACAAATGACCTCAACAGATCCGATAAGTACAGGTGATAAACATCCATCTTCGTCTATCGCTAAACATATACTAGAAACTAACCATAGGCTAGACATGAATACAGCCTTTAAAGTACTACATAAAAGTGATCAGAGCCGAGTGCTTAAATTTATTGAAGCTCTTGCCATCCGTAAATTCGAACCCCTTTTATGTATACAAAAGCAGTTTGTACTCACGTTGAACCTACCTTAGTAGTATTGATTTTAATTTTCATACCAAGAGTAAGGTTTTCCCTTTTTTTCTCTATCCCTTCCTATTCCTATGTTTCCTATTAACTTCATTGACCTTTTTCATAAATTTTCACATAAATAGTTTGACAAGTTCATGTGTGGGGGGTTCAGATTGTTCGAAATGTGTAGCGCTAATACATTACAACATGTTTCAGATAATCTTTGTCTTCTCATTACGCTGTTTAAATTTATCAAAGGGACCAGTTGTTTTAAATAACAAATATTTCAATAACTAGTAATAGGTTAATCTATACTCGTCGGACAAGAAGTGGCTTTCGTGGCTCGATGGTGTAGTGGATAACGCTCTGGCATTTGAAGCGATCGCTCCCGAGTCCCGGTGGGAACAATATCACTCGGCACTGAGAGGCAGGTACATCCAGCTCACGAGTCCTAAACAGGATGAAATGCGCATCCTGGATTCCACTGCTAGCCACGATCCATCATTAACATAATTAGAACTCTGGTAATATCGAAGGGGATCCGCACAGGAGCCCGTATGCCAACAGAGACTAATCAATTCGGTCCAATCAACGACGGTGTCATACAAGCAATAACACTAAATAGGTTAATCGAGTATGAATAAGATTGTGTTTTAAGGTGGGAAAATAATGATAATGATGACATAGGGGTGAGAATTGAATCGATTGAGTGTCGATCACATTAACATTGAAAACAAGATAGCAAATAGTACTACTTATGCAGACATAATAAGAAAACCAGGTGATTAATCATGATAGGTATAAGGTTAATTAGACGAAACAAATCAGAGAAGGAAACTAAAATATCAGACGGGTGATAATTAATAGCGAAGCGTAAACAAGAAAGATTAAATATGATTAGACAATGTTGTAATTTCTACCATAGCAGATTCAAGCTGACTACCATTTCCTTCGGAATGCAGAGGTTTGGTTTGACAACTTCTTACTTTGCTATCTACTGATAAACGTAAAGGACTTCAATGTATCAATATCATGTCCATAGTCCACTAGGTGTTTCGTTATCAAGCTCCCTAGGGTCTTCTTTTCGACATGCTTCAACTATTGGGGTAGACAGACACCTCTCCGTACGACCAGTGTATTTTGCTTCCGTAGGTATATTCGAAATAATATATGCATTTAGATGTGTCACGGATCACAGCCTTGTCTTTCCCTGATTATTGCAGTACCCTTTTAGTATGGTGACAGATATACATAAACGGAGGATTCATAGATCTATTCAAGTGACGGTCTCTGAACATATTCCAAATTGATTTACTTCTGAAGCAAATTAAGTCACTTGAACCGATAAACGCTGATAGCAGACGTCCAGATCCTTCGATAGCCAAACATATCGTTAAGACAGGGGTCACAGGATTCATGTGGCTACCTCCTTTACACTTATTTACAAAACGTGTTGGGGGCGAATCCTCAAAACCACCTTTGTATGTGTTCAAAAAGCAATTTGTTATCCACATTAAATCTGCCTTGGATTTTTTTCATTGTGGAATTCACCAAGTTCAATGTAACATTACTTTCACTCTATTGTTATTTGGCCTTTAATTCAGCCTTCGTAATTGACCTATTATCATGGATTCTCACCCCTCATCTCTTCATAAACTTTCATATAAATACTTATGACCAGTATGTGTGTGTATATGAGTGATCAGATTGTTCGAAATGTATTGCGAGAATACACATTACACACAATTTACGTCTTCTTATTGTTTTGTAGAAGTGTATGAAGCGAATTAATCGTTGAAAACCGAGTTTATTTCAAATAATTATAAACGAAAACACACACATATATGTTGATGATTTATATTACTATTATTTGTCCCTTGAGTTCCTAGTGGAACAGAACAAAGGGCTCTAGTAGCACGTCTACATTCCACTCTCTTCTCTACAATCTTTCCAACCTTGCTCCACCACTGCCCATAACCTCTCATTTCTTCCTCACACAATCTCCTCTATGTCACACTCAACTGGGAGGCCCAAATCACTGATTCCCATCTGCGTTCCACTCAACAACATGGCCTGGAGCGTCATGTCCACAAATGCTCTTCTCAGTGTATGCCCCACCCATCTCCACTTCCTTCCACTGCATATTTCTTCAGCGATAAGTTCTTGCTTCGTCGGTTGATGACCATCTGAGCTTCAGTATCGAGCCAGCGTACGCAACAGCTGTTGATGAATAATCTGCAGTTTGTTGGAAATCCCTTTCGTAACCCATAAACTCTCTCAACCATCACATACAACCACTGACTTCACTGACATTCGTGTTGAAAATCCGGATCTTGTTCACGCCTCATGCTGAGTGCAGTGCAGTGCAGAAGATCTCCACACTCGTTTCAGGTTAATCAACGCCTGTCTTGTTGTCTTTCTAATCCTGGCTGGCTTTGACGTCCTCATCTGTGCCGCCTCCACCTGTAATTGAAACGATGCTGCTTAGGAGGGTGGGTGAAAGAGGCTACTTCCTTTAAGTTTCTCCCGTTGATGGTCATTGGAGTTTTTCGTTGTTGTTGGTGGTGTTGGTTGGATATCATCATCACCTCCATCTTCTCTACGTTCACCTGGAGGAAGTCCCATCTTCGCTGTCTATTCTGTCAACTTGTTAGTTTTTGCCTGTAGATCTTCGAGTTTGTGCGACAAGACATTAAACATAAATCATCATCGGCGGTGAAATCCAAATCTTCTTCTGTGGTCTTTTCATCGGTCCAGTCAGCGTATGCCCATCTTCTTGCTTCTCACAGTTGTCTGTTGCATGATTCAGTCCAGTCGATGACGATCAGGAAAATGACCGGTGATAGTAGGCAATCTTGTTTTACTCCTGTCTCCACTTCAAATGCATCACTGGGCTTCCCATTGTGAACTATTTGGCGTTTGGCCTCTTCATATAGTTGTTGAGCGACGCTGAAACCGTAGTGTTGAAGCAACTGCCAAATTACTTCTCAGCTGACGCTATCAAATGCCTTTTCAAAGTTGATGAAATTGAGATAGAGGGTTGACTTCCATTCTATACTCTGTTCTATGATGATGCATAGCGTTGGAATTTGGTCCACATATGATATGTACTTCGTGAATCCAGTGCATCCTTTAGTCTCTCTATGATGATGCAGCTGTTGGTGACCTATAATAACATGAAATTTACTAATTGGTGTTTACACAAAGGACTGAAATCATTTGAAGAACCATTGAAAATCTTGGAGTACTGAGAAGAGCTATTTTCTCCTAGTATAAGATTCCTCTATAGTATACAACGCTGACTTCAGCAGAGATAGGATTCATGACCTTCATGTTCCATATCCTGTGCATTACCATTAAGTCACTCAGTTTGTGATACAACATGATCGTTGTCTGTTGACTATTCGTACTCATATTGAACTTAGTTTACCCCCATTGGTCATGACTTCTCATCAGACCTTCAATTAATTGAACACCGACCTAATAGTAACATGTTCTCACTGAAATTTGGAAGATCTTGGGTTCGACCTCTGATATTATATTCATTCATTGCTTTAAGCCTTTCAAGATTTCTTCAACTACATACGTAAACAACAACAACAAAAAGATTGAATAATACTTACTTTGATTATCACTTCTCCATTTGGATTAAGTTTATTGTTGGTTCCATTATATACAATGTTATATAAATTGTTTACAGTGAATACTTGTTTATCACCTATTGAATTACGTTCCCATTTATACGTATTGAATGGATAAAATATTATCTGATCAGAATTATTATGATGAATAGACATATCTACACTGTCTGACAAATCATTGTATTCAAGCATCTTTTGAAAGGAGAACAGTGAAGAGGGGAATAGTAAAAGGCGAAAGAAAAATGTAAAACATACAGTAAATGAATAAAAATGAAGCTATACAGATTAATCTGTTAGAACAATCAATTGTATATAGAGATAAAGGAGTATATACAACTCAAATACACCATAACACATTAGATTGCATTGTAGACTATGAGAAATGCATTTAATGTCTACATTAATAGCTTATTCAACTTTTAACCAATAAGTCCTGAGTTCGATTCCAATCCTTATCTACTTTAGTCTAAGTGCACTAGGTAGTATCATAAGTGTTTACATAGCTAGTTTGGATTACATAATCTAATACATAAATATATACTGGGTTGAGTTGCATTATTATTATTGTCATTATTGTTATTATGGGTTAGATGGGGTCTGAGGTCAAACTGTAAGAAAAAACTTTTCATTATTCCTCGAACAAAATACCGACATCCTCTCTCCAAGGTATAGTAAAAATAAAGGTCTTATGATAATTATTTGTCTCTTGGGTTCCTAGTGGGACATAGGGCTTCAGTAGCACGTCACACTCAACTGGGAGACCCAAATCGCTGATTCCCATCTGCGTTCCACTCAACAACATGGCCTGGAGCGTCATGTCCACAAATGCTCTTCTCAGTGTATGCCCCACCCATCTCCACTTCCTTCCACTGCATATTTCTTCAGCGATAAGTTCTTGCTTCCTTCGTTGATGGCCATCTGAGCTTCAGTATCGAACCAGTGTAGGCAACAGCTGTTGATGAATAATCTGCAGTTTGTTGGAAATCCCTTTCGTAACCCATAAACTCTCTCAACCATCACATACAACCACTGACTTCACTGACATTCGTGTTGAAAATCCGGATCTTGTTTACGCCTCATGCTGAGTGTAGTGCAGATCTCCACACTGGTTTCAGGTTAATCAACACCTGTCTTGTTGTCTTTCTAATCCTGGCTGGCTTTGACGTCCTCATCTGTGCCGCCTCCACCTGTAATTGAAACGATGCTGCTTAGGAGGGTGGGTGAAAGAGGCTACTTCCTTTAAGTTTCTCCCGTTGATGGTCATTGGAGTTTTTTGTTGTTGTTGGTGGTGTTGGTTGCATATCATCATTACCTCTGTCTTCTCTACGTTCACTTGAAGGAAGTCCCGTCTTCCTTGCCTCACCTTTTCTGTAAACTTGTTGGATTTTATCTGTAGATCTTTAAGTTATTAATCTTTGTATAATTGTAGTCAACTTTTCAAGTGCTTTCCTGTAGTATTCATCATGTACTGACATCAGTTAGGGGAATTATTGAAAATCGCCTGAGAGCACTGGACAGCTGTTTCATCCTAGTTCGACCCCTAGTCGGGTCATGGGTGTATAACTGCTGAGGTGTCGCATACTAGAAGGAAACAGCCGTTGTCCAGTGGTCACAGATGATTTTCAATAATTCCTCAAGTAATATCAGTCTATGATGAATGAAGACTACTTCTAGAATCTCCTAGTATATTCTTAGATTATTTTCTCAAATTGTATACAATGAAAAAGAGAAAAGGAAAGGAAGAAGGGTAAATCATTGTGATATATACATATATATTCATGTTTATAAACACCTATTAACTTACCTTATAAAATACTAGGGCATATGATTGAGTTACATTATCAATGTTTAATGCTTTTTTAGAAGAATCATTCAACTTCTCCCATTCAATAATAGGATATGATTTAGGCATTGAACTATGAATAATTAAAATTGATGGAAGTGTAAAGTGTTCAGATGCTGTAATAAATAAATGTACTGAAGATGTTGTATTCTGTGCATTAATATACATTACATCATATTTTTTACAGTCTTCTTTATGATTACAACCTGGATTATGAGTAATACTTACCTTTATTATTATTATTATTATATATATGAATAAAATATACAATCCATATAAGAACTTACATTCCAATCACAATGTGAATTTATTATACAACCAAATAAGAGAATCAATTTGTTAAGTGAATAGACAGTATACATAACTCTATGTAATGAATTCTTAAGCTGTTATAATCAGTATATGTAATTGTTTAAAATACAGATGGAAAGGAAAAACTGAAACGAAAAAAAACAAACAATGAAAAACTTTTTTTCAATCATAAACCTAAGAAATACCAGATATAAAAGGGATAAACTATACAGAATAAACATTTAATCATGATAATTTAGTTGGTTGTAGCTAGCAAGAGAATCCAGGATGCATGTTTCGTCTCATTTGGGACTCATCAGCTGGATGTACCTCCACTTCATCGCTCATCGCTTCAAACACCAAAGCGTTATCTACTATGTCACGGAGGAACGATAGCCACTTCTTGTACAACCGGTAGTATTTATTGACATAATTGTAATTCTCCGTTATTTTTTATTGAATCGCATTGTTCGACGTCTGTTGGTATGCGGATGCCCCGATATTGCTTGAATGTTAATGATGATAATTTGGTTGATTGTGACTAGCGTGTTTTGTCCTATTTGGGACTCGTCAATTGGATGTATCTACTTCCCACTACGGAGTGTTGTTGTTGAGACTCGAATCTCGTACTCATCGCTTCAAATGCAAACGCGTTATCCACTATGCCACGGAGGATAACAAGTATGTCAATAAATAGTGATAAATATTTAATCGTTTTAACCTCATGAAGTTGGGAGTGTATAAAATAACTTCACCCCATATATATATTAGCATGATACATCAAGGTAAGCGTTGACTCGGCATACACAACACATGTCTCAGCTCTTTTAATCAATAAAAATTGATAATCTTATAAATCGACTTGTCTAGTACCCTTCGCCTGATCTTGTTCAACATTGTTCACATATGGTAATCATTTGGTTATACATACAACAAGTTTTGATACGTGGAGTAAGGTTAACAATTGCAATCCCATGGTTTCAAGTTGAGTTAATGTAGGAGTAAAACGTTGGCACTGAGATAGCCAGAACACAGTGACGCCATACTATTTACTGTAGGAGGTTTCGAGCACAGTTTCTTGCTCATATTCATATCTAAGATATCATATGATTTTCAAATCTCCTTTATATAGTCCAACAGTTCTTCATCCATCAGTCCAAACCAATATAGGACCAGGCATTACTGCGTAACGGTCCGAGTTGCCACAGCTTATACCTGTACATCAAGTAGAAAGGTAGTGAGGTGAAGGATGAAGATAACAGAATGCAGTCAAAAGAAATGTAAAGTACGAGAAGAAAGAAAAGAGGAGTGATAAAATGGTGAGATTCGGTATAGCATCGTTTAAGATGAGGATAATATATGTATGCATCTGCGCCACTGACATCGGTTCTGGGACATATCCCCTAGAGTCTCCAACCACTGGTTCTTCTTGTCCTGTGGACCCCCAACCACCTAGTCTGCACCGCCCCCACATGGCCTAAACCAACAGTCAAAGACTTCATACATTGGTGTCATGTTTTAGTCTGGCAGCTTCGAGGCCTTTTACCAACCTGGACCTACTTCGGCTAACATTGTGTGACGAGGCAGACGATGGTTAGGCATACGTAACACATGTCGGAGACAGCCATCTCAGTCGATGAAGGTTGACAACCGTGTCAGCTAACTTACCTCTTCTCCCCAAAACTATATGCCTGACTTCTTAGTCATTTGGTGACACCACGGAATACGACCTATACGACGAAGTCAACGGTGGTCAAACACCTGAAGACAGCCTTCTCATGTCTTCCACCTTCAAAGGCCATGTTTCACAGCAATACAGCCAGTTCTTCATCCTTGCATCTTAGTCGTAGTAATACTTTCTAGATACCTGCTATAGACGGTGAATCATTCCTGTCGCATTTGTGTTAGGTGCTGGTTGATTCAATGAACAAAGATTATGTGATCAATCTCTCCCTCTACACAGATAGCTAGATTGGATGTGGGAATTGCCAGCCTATCCCGCCCACCGTATAGTGTGATTATGGGTTAGTGCATACAAAGAGATAGCCGAGTTCTTTTCTAAATTACTTATCTTAGTAGGGTCTGTCATTGTATGTTTCACCAAACTTTCTGCTGTACTATTCTCACTGACTCAGATCGGCTGTTTTGACCCTCCATACTTGACTTCACGTTCACTACATGGTATTTGATAGATTAAGTTACTTTACTTAATTGGCTCTACTGGATCCTTTAGCCGATAAAGTATCTCTCTGAACCAGTTTGTGAGTTTAACATGCCACCCTATTTGCAGCCAGTATTGTTAAGCATTCTAATTAAAAATATCTCCGATGTACCTCCTTTGAACAGTAGTAGCACTACGGAGGGTTCCAATTCCCCTTCTAGGCATGTTGCAAGCACCACTAACATACCACTCTTTCTCTTATAAGGTCTTATAAACTTTATAATTTATTCTGGAGGGTAGTTATTAAGAAGTGATTTCTCTTCGATATGTTTCATTTCCTTAGTTAGACTTTCCAACTTACTAGTCAAACTTCTAACCCGATTACTTAGTTAGACATTTTATCAAGCCTACTTTGACAGATACAGAGTGAGATGATGTGAAATCCAAGTATCTATTCAACTGTATGTAGATTTCCTATAAACACTGGTATCTAAATAGCCTTCCATTTTCTCTCCTCTTGCTTATGCATTTCAACATTGAAGTAATTCTCCTTCTTCATTTCCTAATTTATAAGTGAATTGGATTGCATCTACTAACGAGTTAATGTGAACGAATAAACTCTCAGCGTGTTCTGATTTCGGCACAGTGTAAATGTATCATCTACATATCACCAACAACCACCACACTTTTGGGTTTGAGTTGAAATGTTCCTTATGCCATTTGTTTGCCACGACTGTCCATAGATACATCTACTATGATCGGTTGAAATTACAAAGGACATCTTCACGGCAGCCATCAAGACAAAATGGGAGATATTGAGGAACATCCCTGAAGAAACCTGTATGGAAGAACACTGGAAGTCTTTGAAAGAGATGTGGGAATAAACCTGCATAACCATATTAGGAAGGAAGAAGAAAGGAGATAAGGAGTGGATCTCGACAGACACATGGAAGCCGATATGAAGACGCCACATGCCAAGTAATTCACAATGGGAAGCTCAGTGATGCTTTTGAAGTGAAGTGAAGACAGGAGTAAAACAAGGCTGTCTACTATCACCCATCATATTCCTGATTGAAGTGGACTAAATCATACAACAAACTGTGAGGAGCGTGAAGAAGGGGATTGGCTGGACTGCTGAAAAGAACCTAGAAGACTTGGATTTCACCGCCGATGACTTGTGTCTGACGTCGCACAAACTTGAAGATCTACAGGAGAAAACTAACAAGTTGGCAGAAGAGGCAGCGAAGACAAGACTTCAAGTGGACCTAGAGAAGACAGAGGTAATGATAATATCCAACCAACACCATCACCAACAACAAAAAACTCCAATCACCATCAATGGGAGAAACTTAAAGGAAGTAGCCTCTTTCACCCACCCTCCTAAGCAGCATCGTTTCAATTACAGGTGGAGGCGGCACAGATGAGGACGTCAAAGCCAGCCAGGATTAGAAAAACAACAAGACAGGTGTTGATTAACCTGAAACCAGTGTGGAGATCTTCTGCACTGCACTACACTGCACTGCACTCAGCATAAGGCGTGAACAAGATCCGGATTTTCAACACGAATGTCAGTGAAGTGAGTGGTTGTATGTGATGGTTGAGAGAGTTGGTGCGTTACGAAAGGGATTTCCAACAAACTACAGATATTCATCAACAGCTGCTGCCTACGCTGGCTCGATACTGAAGATCAGATAGCCGGAAATAATAAGCAAGAAGGAACTTTGGGAACCTATCACCGAACAAATATGCAGTGGAAGGAAGTGAAGATGGATTGGGTATACAATGAGAAGGCCGACTGGATACATCACGCGTCAGGCCCTCGAGTGGAACCCCGATAGGAAGCGACGAGTTGGGCGTCTGAGGCGAGGGAGACATGAAAGAGATCGTGCGAGGAGGAAATGAGAGCTTGTGGACTGTCGTGGAGCGAGGTTCAAAAGATTTCAGCGAAGAGAATGAAATGGAGACGTGCTACTGAAGCCGTATGTTCCATCAAAAACCCAAGGGACAAATAATAATAAAATAATGATCGGTTGAGTACCTAACCAAATGAGTCATAATTTCATTTTAACTAGAAGTTAAATAATAATTAGCATGACTACAACTTGTTGCAGCTTAACCTGGCAAGCCTTGCATTAAAACTTTGCTGACCGTAGTCAATTAGGGCTCAGTAAAAGTGTACAGTACTGTCCTACAGTTGAGTGAAAGTACCAGTATGCATAAATTTCATACTATGCAGCTTGATATTGTTCAACAAGGCAGTTGGGTAGGACAGTAAGACGGAGCGGAACTCTCACTTTAGCAACTGATTAATTTTTCAGTTTTATTTAACTCCAGCCTATAGGCACACGCATAGACGAACCAGTGATGATTAGTATGTCTTGCACAACGTGCTACATTAAGTCAGCATATAGAAGCATCGGGGCCAGTAAGATAGACTAGACCAAAGTTTCAACTGCAAACTGAACTAGTTTTATTAGATGGAATGAGAATGAACTGTATTTGATCTATCAAGAAGTAACATAGGTGGAAGTAACGATAATAGTAGTAAAAAGGAATGTTGAACCCTCAGAAGTTATAATTGATTTCAAAAAATAATCAAAAATCAACTAAATGGTTGAAAAACTTGTATAATGTCAAGACAGATAAATCAACGTAGAACCTCATACAAACGTATATTAGTTCAAGTATAGGGGTTTTTATATGATACCGTGGTTGATTGGACCGAATTGATCGGTCTATATTAGCATATGAACTCCTGTGCGGATGCCTCGATATTGCCAGCAATCTAATTATGTTAATGATGGATCGTGGATCCAGCTGACGAGTCCCAAATAGGACGAAATGCGCATCATGGATTCCACTGCTAGCCACGATCCATCATTAACAGTATATTGGTTCAAGTTACTACACTTCATAGTAATATAAAAACCACAAATAGATATAAAAAGACTGATATTAAAGAGGACAAAAGTGTATGGGAGAATA